ATTTTAAATTTTCAACTTAAAAATGCTATAACTTTTTGAAAAATGTATATATCAGCACAATTTTTTTTTTCTAAATACATTATAAGTACATCTTTCATTTGACATAATTTTTATTCAAATTGGACAATTTCCCCTTATATAGGGGGCGTCCAAAACTTGAAATATTGTAAAATACATAGATCTTTTTCAACTTAATTTTTAAAAATGTTCCGGAAATACTGCGCCCTTTAAACAAATATCAAATTAAAGCTTATTTTATGTAATATAAAATGAAAAAAAAAATTTGTCCCGACGACCTATCTTCTATGCGCAAATGGCTACCATATTAAAAATATGCTATTTTACACAAATTTTTTTTTTTAATTAAACACTATCTACAGATTTGCATCGAAGCGTTTTTTATGATAGTGATTTTAATCACTGTTAGATATCATCTATACTGGACCCAACTATGCCACGACTCCACTGTGCCGCCACCCCACTGTGCTGGGTTTTTTTTATCTAATTATTAGGTTGTAAGTTATTTACTTTTTTAAGTGAAAATATTAAGTTAATTTTATCTCTCACTTATTTATACAAGACTAAATAAACAATTTATAGTCTCATTAATTACGTAAAAAAAAGTTATAGATGTTTTTCGTCTAATAGTAATTTAGTTTTTTTTTTTCATATGTTAGTTAATAGTCCACAAAACTTATTAAGGTCAATAATATTATTTAATGAAATCATTATTGCTTTAAAATTTTTAACTTCATCTTATTATATTTTATTTTTTTTAGTAACTGAAAACTTCTATAATGAAGTCCAATATTCACCATGTGCTCCAGTCATTTCAAAAATTTCATTTCAGTCATTTTATTCCAAAAAAACTTATGAAATTTTGAAATGCATATAACAACACTAAAATATCTTAAAATAATGGATGCTAAATTAGAACTTTGAAAAAAAAATCATCAGTAGTCCTGTTCACAATGTATATGAATCAAATTTATTATCATTACTTCCATGAAAAACTTAAAACAGATTCTAACTTTGAACGTCCAACAATAATTTTATTTTTATTTTAATATTAGTTTTCATAATTTTTCAAATGTTTAATGATAATAATAATTATTATTATTATGAGTCATATTAGTATAATATATTTCTTATTCTTACTTACAGAACAACCCTGTGTATCGAGTTGGGAAACCTGTATCAAAAACTATATTCAAAGAATGATTGCAAAAATTTTTTTTTAGACATTGTAAGGAAATATTGAATGACAGGTTGCCGAGATAATCACAAACTGAATAGCCTAAAAATAATTGATATTATAAAAAGTAAATAGATCTGTAAGATAATTACCATATATTATAGGGTTGATAAAACATCATAAAAAAAAAATATATTCATGAAAAAAGTACATCATAAGTACAATAAGTACTTTAGGGTGCCCCTTATTTTTGAAGTCCAAAAATTTGAGAAGTGCAGCTCGGGAATTTGTTCCTATAGGTCTAAGTATAATATCTGCAAAATTTGAGCTTCATATAACATGATTAACAGGGCGCGCTCTAAGCTCAAAGTTTTAGGAAAATTCAAATTTTTGCACTTTTTTTTGCTAAGTTTTTGATCTTACGGAAAAATGATAATGAGCTTTTTTGTAGACCTAGTTATTTACTACAATTAATGTTTCTAGTAATTTTTCATAAAGTCCGCGGTTTCTCGTGAAAATTAAAAAAAACTATTTATAACTTACATTTTACGAAAATTGCTCATTTTTTTGTTTTTGTCAATATCTATACAAAAATTAATCGTACAAAAAAAGGACATATTATTAATGTTGTAGTAAATCATTTTTACTAAAAAATATATTATCATGCAAATTTTCATTAAGTGAACCCTTTTGGGTTAAATTAGGAAAACAAATAAAAATAACTGATTTTTTGTACAATACTAGAACAGAAGTTAGAAAGAGAAGTGTTGTACTTTGGATGTCGACATCACGTTTTCGAAATTATCCTAGCAGCAGTTTTTACTAAATGTAAATTTAAAGTATCAGGACCAGACATACCTTTGTTCAAAAGGTTTAAAGGTAATTGGTCAGAAATAAATACTGAAAATTTTGTTCCAGGCATAAGTAGTCCAAAAATACAAAAAATCTTTAAAAATAAAAATGAAATTTTAACTTCACTCACAACTGCCATTTCAAAAACAATGCCCCGTGATGACTACCGCGAGCTTTTAGACCTATCAATCATTTATCATGGTGGTGTGCCTCCAGGTGGAATACGTTTTAGGAAACCGGGAGCATATCACATGGCTAGGTGGATGGCAAAAGCCATATACGCTTTAAAAATTTACATATTTCGAACTGAATTCAAATTAACAAAATTAAAAGAAGAATCAATGTTTCAAATTACGTCCTTTGTTGTCAGATGTTACGTTGTTCATTGAATTTATGCTGTTGATGCCATATCTGCTCCATTAAATGATATCCAGTTTTTAACCCGTCGTTGGTACACATGTGAGCGCGCCGCTCACACAGATAGCATTTCGAGCGTTATTCGTACAAATATTATTGAATTAATCTGATACTATAAATACCTTCAAATAACATGTCTATAAATATTTTTAAAAATAAATTATTGCGCTATTTGTCATTTCCTATCAGTTATCGATAGACAAAGTCGACTGTACCGATTTAGTGAGCGTCGCGCTAACACTGTACTTACCGCGCAATATTTTTATCACCACCGTCACAGTCGATTACGTATACGTGTTTTTACTATTTTTTAATTTATCATGTCCAATAAAGTTATTTCGTGGTTAGAAGAAACCAAAGAAGTTTTTTTAGATGACTCAGACGATACCGATGCTGATCCTAGTTATGTAGATCCCGCCGAATTACGTCAAAATGAGTCTGATAGTGACATTTCTGAACCTACACCTAGTATAATTACTCAAAGATCAAATACTTCACAAACCTCTCATTCAAGAAGTCATAGTCCTATAGCACAGAATTCTTACTACTTAGGAAAAGATAAACAAACAAAATGGTATAAAGACGCTCCTCCTAAAAATGTACGTACTCGCCAACGTAACTTCGTTTTACGTTTACCAGGCGTAAAACCAACAGGTCGCAATGCAAATTCTATTTTGAAGTGCTGGAACTTATTTTTTGCTGATTCCATGATTGACGATATAATAAAATACACCAACATATATCTGGATAAAATTCGTTCAAAATATACACAAAAACATATGGTACGCGAAACCTCAAAATCCGAAATAAACGCGCTTTTTGGACTGTTATATTTGGCCGGTGTTCAACGTGGTAATCATCTCAACCTTGATGATTTATGGTCAAATGACGGCTTATCTCCAGAGTATTTTCGAGCAGTTATGCCAAAAGCACGATTTTATATTCTTCTAAGAGCAATGAGGTTTGACGATATAGGTACACGGGCTCAGAGAAAACAATTTGATAAGCTTGCGGCCATTCGTTCAATATTTGACGAATTTGTTCTACGCTGCGAGAATTATTATACAGTGGGGGCAAATGTAACTATAGATGAAATGCTCGAAAGTTTTCGAGGCCGTTGTAGTTTCCGAGTGTATATCCCAAGTAAACCTAACAAATATGGTATAAAAATCCAGGCCTTAGTCGACTCTAGCACCTTTTATACGTCGAAAATGGAAGTGTACGTTGGGACTCAGCCCGATGGGCCTTATAAATGCGAAAACGACCCAGCAAGTGTAGTAAAAAGATTAATCGCCCCAATTACGAAAACAGGTCGTAATATCACCATGGATAACTGGTATAATTCTATACCTCTAGCAATTGATCTACTAAAAAATCACAACACTACTGTAGTTGGTACACTTCGTAAAAACAAACGTGAAATTCCCCTTTGTTTTTTAGACACTAAAAAAAGGCAATTGAACTCTACGATGTTTGGTTATGACAAAGACATATTGCTTACGTCATATGTACCAAAAAAAAATAAAAATGTATTGCTTATTTCCACTATGCACGAACAAGGTGTCATTGATCCAGAGTCTGAAAAAAGAAAACCAGAAGTGATAACGTACTACAACAGTACAAAAAGTGGCGTGGATTGTGTGGATGAAATGAAGGGCGAAGAATAATTCTCTGTGGCTAGAATAAGTTGCAGGTGGCCACTGACCATTTTTTTCTCTCTGATGAACATAGGAGGCATAAATAGCCAAATTATTTTTCGAGAAAATACAGGAATTTATCTAAGTCGTCGAAAATTTCTAAAAACCTTGGGAAAAGAACTTACAAGACCATTTATGTTAGAACGATTGCAGATGCAAACTTTGCGTACAAGTATTCGACAAAGAATAATAAAATTGACTGGTTACACCAAGACAGAAGATGAAGTCCCTGAACGTTCAAACATTGATCATCGTCCGAAGTGCGTATTTTGTCCAAAAAGAAAAAATCGAAAGACCATGGTGAGGAAATATTTTTATGAATACATAATAATAATAATATTATATATAACTAATTTTTCAAATAATTGTTTGAAATAATTTTGTAGACCAAGTGCGTAAAATACAGCGTGCCAATATGTAAGGAGCATACGACGAGCACATGCGTATCCTCCTGTAACGATCACAACGAAATAAGTAGTACAGAAAGTGAATAGACCAAAGTGATGAATTTAATAGTTTATAAATTTTTATTTATATTAAGTTTTTAATTAATTTGTATTGCTTTATAAGGAAAAAAAATTTTTTTTTGGAATAAGATTGTAGTTTTTTATTTTTATTTTATAAATTATGACATTTACTTAAAAAGTATTTATTTACTTTTTAGTGAAGGATAAAAATATACATAATTCTAGGTACGGTGTAATTTTTTAAGTTAATCGATCAATTAATAATAATATATAAAGTGAAGTGTGAGCATCACGCTCACAGTGTAACAATTATGTTACGAAATATATGTGTACCAACGACGGGTTAAGAGAGATAAAAAAATATGAACAAATAGACAAGATTATTTCAGAGGTAGCCGTTAGTAAATTCATAAACCACTTATACTATTTGACCGAAGAATGTGTTGCATTTTCCTTACTTGATGAAAGAATAGATGTTAACACCAAATTAAAAATGGCGCAAAAAATGCAAACCGAAATTGATGAGATGGAAGATCATGCAAAAAAATTGAATTTAAAAATAAGTGATATACCCACCTTTTTAAGCAAATCAAATGAAGAAATTCTGATATCACTGTTAAGCAAAAAGTCAGCAGATATATTTGACCGTTTTAAAATTGAAAACTTTTTACATATTTCCCCATTTGAATGGTTAAATTCAAGTGCCTACCAAAAAGGAAAAAATGCAATTGAACAGTTAAAAGTTGTTAACGATTCAGCTGAAAGAGGTGTGAAACTTATAGAAGATTTTAATAACAGTATTACGAAAGATGAAAGTCAAAAACAATTTTTATTACAAGTCAGTAAAATACTTAATTATGTTATTTTATTTTGCAGACATATCACAACTAAGTTTTTGTTTTTATTATTTCAGACTGTCAAGGATTATAGATCTAGGTATCCCCATTCAACAAAAAGCACTTTAAGCAATCCGTTAAATATTTAAACCAAAAAATATATAAAAATTATTTTCTAATAACTTTAAGAACACTTCTTTTAATTTTTTATCTTTTTTCAGAACTTTATTATATCATAATATATTTAACTTGAATTGTCATGTTAAATCAACATAAATCTATAGTAGGAAAATTTAAAAAAAAAAATTATCAGAAAAAATCAGTTATTTTTATTTGTTTTCCTAATTTAACCCAAAA